ACCCCAGGAGGAAGGTATTTTCAATAAGTCCATTTAACAGACGCCTAGCCCGAGCCCAGGGTCACAGAGCTGGGAAGCAGAGATGCACTTTTCTAGGAGTAGCGGAGGCGCGGGTCCACCAGTCTGAGCCTGGACACATTCGCTGCTGGGCTCCGCTTGCCGGGCGGCCTCGCTGGGGTGGTGGGAAGAGGCCGAGGGGTCTGGCGGAGACCCTAGGGAACCCGGCCGGGCCGGGAAGGGAGGCCTGGCGTGCGGAGACCACGAGGCGGCCCTCTGCTGGCGGCCGCGCACAGGAAATAAGGGCGCCACCAGCTGACACTCGTTGAGGTGGCACAGCTGCCCCGAGGAGTCCCGGAAGGTCCTTCTGCAGAAAACGCCAGACCCGCCCGAGAGAATAACATTTTCAGAGACGCTGCAGGGGTCGCGGGGGGTTGGACAGAGGTGAGATCCTCTCCGCAACTGGTCCCGCAGCCCCGCCTTCGCCCAGCAGCACGCTCCAGGACCCACGCTCGCCCCCACCCCTTGACCGCCTCCACCCGCGGTCAGCTGCTCCGCCCCAACGCCACCCCACGTCCAGCCGCCGGTCCTAGAATCCACCCTCCCCGACAGCCTGCCCTTCGGGGACCCCGGAGCCCTCCCTCCGCAGTGCAGCCCCAGCTTCTCTCGGGCTTGTCCCTACCCACCCAGCCCGCCGCAGTCATCCAACCCCCCCTCCCCAACGTTCCGCCCCCTGGCCCTGGAGCCCGCTCTCCGCCTCTTCATCTCAGTTCCCTTTAGCGCCCCTGACCCTCGCTCGCGCTCACCCTCCGTGGGGCCCAGTGCTGATCCCAGCCTTCCCTGCTGCTCTCGGCTCTGAACCGTCAGCTGCCATCGCACTGTCCGGAACCCCCAAGCCGCCGGTCAAGGCGCGGGGCAGCCACCTTCCCGGCCCGCAGGTCCTTCCGGGGACCAACTGGGAATAGCTGCAGACCCAGATGGAGACCGGGGCACAATACCACGACCACCCACTGGCTGTGTGACCTCTGGCTGCCTGTCGCCCTGGGAGCCTTGGACCCTCGCAGAGTTCGCTGCAGAACGCTGGGCGACCCCTTGGCCTTGCCTACTGCCCTTTGGGGGCGCCCACTCCGCTTGTGCTGAGGTGGCCAGGAGACCGTAACAGTAACTGGAAAAAAGTAAATCAACATTACAAATGTTAAAAGAAAAGATCAAGGTGCTCTGAGAAGGAATAATGGGGCTTCTCTGAGTAGACATTTAAAATAAAACCTGAAGGTGAGAGTCGTCTAGGTAAAGATTGTGGGGAGACCATTCCAGCCAGAGAAAGACAAGTACAAAGGCCCTGAGGCTGAAAAGAGCTCAGCATTGCTAGGGCCCAAGACAGATCAGTGTGTTTGAAACGAGGTGAGTGAGAGCAGCAGACAAAGCTTACAGAAGGGATCTGGATTTTATTGTGAGTGCATTATTATAAAATGGGGTTTTAAGCAGAAAACACCCATGTGGGAGGGAGGGTAGAAAAGTGGAAGTAGAAACAATTAGGAAGCTACTGCAATAATCCAGGTGGGAGATGAGGGTGTCCCAGTCAAGGATGGTGGAGTATAGAGGAAAGACATGGATGGATTCAAAATGTGTTTTGGAGGCAGAGTTGTTCCTGGCTGCTGGGAGGAAGATCAGGATGGTCTCAAGGGTGATGCCCAGTTTCCCAGCTTGAGAGACTAGGTAGGAGAAATGCCATCCACTGAGATGGGAGATTGAGAGGAACATGTTCCAGGGAAGATGTGACAATCAAGGAGCCAATAAGCGACAGCTTAAATTAAGATGCCTGAGACACAGACTAGCTGTGGGCATGTTGATGCCTCCTCAGAGCCCAGGCCTTGTCTTAGCTGAAGGGGCAAGAGCTGTATGCAAAATATTGATAAAAGAAATCAAAAGTTCTAAATAAACAGGAAGATACATTATGTTTGTATGTTTGGAGGCTCATTGTTAAGAGGTCAACTCTCCCCAAATGGATCTACAAAATCACAGCATTCTTAATCGAAATCGCAGCAGCCTTCTTTGTAGAAATTGACCAGCAGATTGTAAAACTTACAAGGATAAACAAAAGTACCTAGAAAACCCAAAACAATTTTGAAAAAGAACAAAGTTGGAGGACTCATACTACTGGATTCAAAACTAAAAGCTAAACAACTCCAAGAGTTTGGGGAGCTGTGAGCCAGGAACTATGGATGAAGAACAAATATTCAATGTATGAGAAATATATTTTGGCCGTCTGAGTGACCAAATATATATTTATCAATCACAATATCACAAGAGTAAAAGGCAAGTTGCAAACGAATGTATCCTGGAAGATACCTTGTATCCATCATCCAGTCCCCAGGGACCCAAATATAAAGCCTGGGCTTTAGCTGGCCTCAAAATCTCCAGTGACGAGAGACAAAGCCTGGGCCAGAGCAAGATGTAGATCAGACGAGAACTCTGCACAAAGCCAGGACCCCTAAAACATTAGACCCTCCGATAGTGAGCTACAAGAAAAAGAACTACCATGAAGAGGGAGGTGTTAGGCTTGATTTTTCAGCCATGGCTTTGGAGAAAAGAATGAAAAGTATCTCCCAAGAACATCCCTAACCACTCCTCCACACTCTTGAGGGTTTAGGCCAGAATTCACAGTGCCTGTGAGGCTTGAAAAATACAAAGCCAACAATATCACTTAATATGACCCTCGATGGGTAGCACTCCTGCATAAGGCAGATGTAAACACAGATCCTCTCTGGAGAAAGGCA